AAAAAGTAAACACTGAAGTAAATGTTTATTTTTAAATAACTTAATATATTAGAATAAACTTTACTATTTGCTTTCTTGTGGTATGAAAAATAGTGTCATATGCAGAGACCCACAGTTCCCCATAGATTTAATCATGGATCCACCTGGCTGACATCCTTTTACTCAGTTTTTCACTTTGAAAACTATAATTTTATGCCATCTGCAACGCATTATATTATTCTTTTACAATCAGAGTTTTGTAAGTATGCCAGCAATGAAGACTATACAGCTGTTGCACTGCAACATGACAAACACTGGTGAAAGGTACCACAGGTATATCTCTGCCCTCTTTCTTTCCCTATGGTAAAAGGATAGTGAGGAAACGACCATGGTTGTGGAAAAGAGGTGTCTTATTTGATTTATAAATTGAAACCTTCTCATTACTTGGTGGCTGCTTTTCAGTACAGAATGACAGTGTAAATAATTTAATAGCAATTTTGGAAAGAAAATTTTAAAAAGGATAAAAGAAAAACAGGAAAAAAAAGATGTATATATCAACATCTAATGCCCTGATATATTTCACATTTAAAGTTAAAAGACGGCTGAAGAGATTTCTATCCAAGCCTACTTGTATTCAGTGATGTGCCCATACTATTACTTCAGCTTAAGACTAAGTAGACATTTGAACCTAGTGCTGGAAGTCCCTCCAAATTGGGCACGCATCTCCACAACAGAAAAGCAGCGCTCAAGGTGGGAGGCAAGGAAGAGAAGAACTGGGCTGTTTTTAAAGCCTGTTGTGAGCATGCTTGAAAGCAAATTGGTTGAAACCTGCCTCCAAAGGTAACCAAGAAGATCACACATCTTCATACATCAGCTCCCATTTACCTTCACTACTGGGCGGTCTGAGACCATCTCATCCCCAGCTGATCTCTGCCAAAGAACCCACACATGTTATTGCAGCTTTTGTGACCCTTTGGTTTTCACTACTGCCCACCCCAGCTGCCAAATGTGGCAATGCTTTTGTTCCTATGGCATCTCCTCTGTTAGTTGGAAAGCCCCTGAGGCCTTGGGAGACTCCAGCACACCCCACCCACGCTTGCTACGAGTCCAGTGTCTATGCTGTAGTATGAAGTCATCTCCCAAGACACTGCTGGGGCCAGCTGCAATACAAAAGGAAAGCAATGCAAACTTAAACCAAAAAGCAAAACAAAAAGAACATAAATTTTAAGCCTGAAGACTACAACTGTCAGTTCAGAGCAACCGACCACATCAGCCCTTTTTATAAGAAAATATATGAAGCTATCAAGTGCTAAGTGATGCATGGCTCATGCACAGCCCGTGGTTTAAAGCAGTTTTATTCTGGTTCTAGCAGCCTGGAGCTGGGAGGGTGCAATGGCCTGAAGCAGTCATCATCGCCAGCCAGCTCTGGCTGTTCCCTTCTTCTCTCAGAGAGGTCTGGGTAGAGGAAGAAATCTTGGGCCATGATGCAAGGGAAGGTGAGGGTAATTAATTTCATTGGCACTTGAAGCATCCGGGATCAAAAGGCTTGGGATATTCTATTTAAACACAGATTGTGGTCTGGACCGTGTGTAACTGGCACATTCTCACGCACCCAGGGATGTTACATTCCTCCCTCCTGCCCTGGTGCTGTCACTGATTTCAGCATTTGCAATGCTTCCCTCCCTCCCTCCCTCTTTGGGCAAATTGCAAGACAAACTGTTTCAGGTCTTTTGTATCACAAAGCCTGAGAAATGTAAGAACAGCCTGAAATTTCTTCAACATGTTTGCCATCAAAGCAATTTCTTGTACAACTCTAACCATGTTATTGTATTTTTGTGACCTTCTAACCCTCCATCTTCTGATCACCTACACAGAGCCCTTTTCACCCATAGTCTTGGAAGGGAACTCCTTAAATAGAACAACATAAATCTGAAAATGTCCCAGCATGGAGTCTCTTCTTTCTGGAGCAGTTTATCCTTCAGCACAGAAGCCAGCAGGATTTGGGACTCTCTGTTAGGAATGACCAACTCTCCCTTCAAGGAACAGGCTGCTGGCATGTTAAACAGCATGGGCTCCTGACAGAGGTGAGAGACCAGAACTAACATCCAGTGGGGCTTATCCTCTCTGCCCTATAAGGACCTATTAGTTCGCCACCCTCCACCAGTGGAACCACTCAGGAAAAGACGCATTTTTTTTCACTCAGCAGGATTTACCCAGAGATTGTAAAGCAGCATTGTAAAGCTTGGTTTTGGCATTTTACTGTGAGAAAGCACACAGCAGAGTCCTGACAGAAGGCAAGGGGACTGCTGATACAGGTCTCTGCTTTAGAAGAACATGGAAAGTGGTGAAAAGCAGTATGAAGTTGGATACAGAGAAGTGGTGTGGGCACATTTAATGAGATCACAGAACTCCACAGGGTCAAGGACCATAACTTTAAGGCATGCTTTGTATCTGGACAACTTAAGTGCATAAGGCCTCAGTTGAGTTGGTTTTCCTAAAAGAGATTAATGTAATTCTGATATCTACATGATTATATGATCATCATTATAATCATCTTTCAGATAAGATCACCTTGCACAGTTTTGAAGAACTTAAGCATGGTGTCCTGTCCTTATTTGCACTCCTGTTAAATTGCACCATCAGAAGCAGAGTGCTTTGTTAAATCCAGTGCAGATACTAAGAAGTTGAGAAATAGTTATGAGATGTCCATCTTTGGGTCATCAGTAAAGAAAAGACATAGACCTGCTGTGGCAGATCCAGATGAGGGCCACAAATACAGTGGGAGGGTTGGAGCACCTCTCTTATGAAGACAGACCCAGAGAGTTGGGGTTGTTCAGCCTGGAGAGGAGAAGACTCCAAGGAGAGCTTATTGCAGCCTTTCAATACTTCTAAGTATGTCTCCAAAGGCCTGTTGCAGATCCAACTGACCATGAACTAAGTAGACATTCTGAAATCACAGCATGGATGAACTACTGAGACATTTGAGAAAATTCAGCTCTATTTTCAGTCTTATTTAGCAAAGACAACATGGATGCTGCTGCTGATTTTCACCCATGAACACAAGTAAGTTTCTACCATGTTTAAAGAAAAAATAGACTAGGAATATAAAAAACTTCTTTCTGTCAAAGTGAGAACAAGAATATAAGAATCTTCACTCAATGTAGGATTGATTTAGAGGAGTGGTAAGAGGGAATGTTCAATATTGGGAGTCATTTGGTGTCATTTGGCCAAAATTTAAAGTAGTATAAAAGTTAATACCAGTTAAGATGTTGAATGGAATATAAGTAAGGAATGTGCTGGTTTTAACAGAATATGCCCCCCACACCCCCATTATCTGAGGCCCATTTCCTATCAATTTAACCTGATTAGTTTCTTTCTACAGCATATGTCTTCTGAGAAGGAGGAAATTTCTTCTGGAACATTCTGACATTTAAGTACAAACAGCAGAGTTGTTGCAATGTCAAAGTTACAGGAGATCAACAGGAAAGGACAGCTAATACCATACATGGAAAATTAACTGCACAGTTCCAAGAAATTCTGCCAAGTATTGTTATAGTGTGCTTATATATAAGGTTGTGCAGTGTCTGCTAAGTCATTGTTAGTTATATGTTTTATATTCAGAGTAAAAAAGTTTCAAGAAGCTGTTGTAGAACTGTAACTGGGGGGCATGCTCTGGCCAGAACTGCTCCTTTAGAACACCAGTACTGATTTCTTCTAAATAAAGTCCCAGAGAAGAAGAGCACACATTAAAGGATCAATTTTGAGTATTTCCTATTGCTAGGAAATGTTGCTGTGCATTAAAGAAAACAGTAGCAATGTTTCTCAGGAATAAGCATTTTGGGCATTAAAATAAAGAACTCAACAAACTGTACAGAAAGTACATGGTATAATTGTAAGATGAATTTGCTTATCCAAATAGTCTTCATTTATGCCATAAAAAATTTACTTTTTTTCTCAATACTTTCTTCCCATTCAACCACAATATAAACCACCAAACCCATCCTCAGACTTCTCCACAAGCAAATTAAGCACTTTGTTTTCGGATTCATACACAGAAGTAGGCTGGGTCCATTTCCTGGTGAACAGAGTGTAAGACCTCATCAACAACTGCCTGATTAATGATGCACCAAAGAAACCAAGAAACAAAACAATTCTTTTTTTCTTAAGTACATAATTTTTTTTTTCTTACTGTAAGCCAGTCAAAATAGCAAATCTAGAGGGAAAAATGGTACAAACTGTCATTACAAAATGAACATCACAGCATTTCACCATTTCACAGTATTTTTCTGGTTTGGTTTTCTCCTGTAACTCCTTGTGTTCCTTTCTTACCTCATCTTGGGACTTGACCAGTGTTTCAAAAGTTTTTTCTCCACTTTCTCCATCTATCATTTTTTTCCGGATCTATTGGTATGGAAGAAAAGGGAAAAGGAAAAAAAAAAAAAAAAGAAAAAAAGGTGTAAGTGTTGCATGTAACATGAATAATCTTTTCAGTGTTCAAAATATTTCATAGAAACACAGAAAACAGTAATGCATACGAAAGTCACAACTTGTGTCTAGCATTCCTTGTGCCTCCCAGCACATCTTTGTGATGTAGTACTGCTGATTCACAAAAACATTTTTGTACCAGTTTGAGAGAAACTTCTCTCTGAAGCAGCCATTTCAAGGAAACTTAAGGCAGAATATGAAGATACTGAGGAACACTAGTTAATGTCATGAAAGAACAATTTCAAACTAAGTGAAGAAATTCTGATTTCTGAATGTATTGCAAAATCTGTAACTGAAAAATATACAGAGGAATTAACTTGTTGTCAACACTTAACTTTTTTTCTCAGTTCTCTTTCTCACAGTAAAAATCTTGTGTTAATAAGAGATAGGAAAACACTTCTAAAACATTTCAAATAATATTTTGATATTCTATTATTAAGTGTTCTGTTTTGAAAATTTTTTCTATTCCTCTCCCCTTTCAAGGAATTGTTACTTTATGAAGAAGACTAATTTAAATAGAAATCATGGTATCTTTCAAAATGATAGGAATATAATTCATTGCCTTTGCCTATGAATAACACTGGAACTTAATTTGTCTAATTATAGTTTCATCTCCATAAAGTCATCTTCTTATCAAATTTAAAATTCATTTATAGTGAAATAAATTTCCATTCAAAATCTAGAACATGTATTGCTTCTCAATCATTATACACTGAAATACAAGCAGCAACAGGTACTAAGAAAATAGGTTATTTACCTCAACTTTAATATCATTTTCCAATTCAGCATCTAGAAAATCCAGCGTAACAGGCTCCTGGGATTTAGGATTCTGAAGCAGAAGATATTGAATAATCAAATAATAAAGACAGAGTACTGTAATGTTAAAAATCATTCTAATCCTTTCATTCTAAAGTAACCTACTTAACTGGTTTTACTTACCCATCTATTTTAATCTCCTCTAGCACTACTAATGCCCCTAGCTCATTTTATTTTATTTTGTTGGGTAGAGAGGTTAATTGGCTAAGTGAAAATCAAATTAACACTAATTGCCAGTGTCTGTCCACAGCCTGTTATGTATGGATCTCACGCTGGGATGCTGCTTCCCCTTCTCCTGGTATGTCACAGATTGTACAGGTGGAGCAGACACATCAGAGCACAGATACGAATGTCTCACTAGATGTCCTGTCCCTTAGAAGGGAAAGATGAATTTGGGAGGTGTTTCCAATAAGACAGGTACAGCCAACTGTACCCTTCAGCAGTTTTGCCAAGAGCAGACTACAAGACTTGCTGTTATGACTGGGAATGGACTATGGTTCAAGACTCAAAAAGGCACCTCAAAAGGTGTTCTCTGAATGTCTTGCAGTTTTGAAAGCATTTCTCTTGACATCAGTACTGTTATCTCAGTTTAGGAGATGGAAACCTGTAGCACAGAAATACTGAAACCCAAGCTTCCAGACTTAAGGAATGTAAATGATGTCAACCCTCAACTCTAGAGCGCAGAGAATTATGGTGGTCTGCATCTGTAGTAACCCTGGCCCCAGAGGAGTGTGGGAAGAACACTGGAGCTCTCCTGAACACGACCAGATCACCCTCCGGCCTCGGCTCCTTTCTCAGTCGCAGCCTGCACTTACTTGGCCAAAGCCACCTTCCATATGAATTGTAAGGAATCCAACTTTTTTTTTTAGTAATTTTGCCTAAGCCTCATTGACTTTAAATTGTGTGTGGTGTAAAAATCATCAATCTTCATCACCCATAAGTGAGTCCATAATAAACACAGTTATTTAGTGCATCCAGCTAAAAGTGAGTGCATTTCTTTAGAAAAAGAAGTATGGCAATATATGATTTAACCATTTAAATATTACAGTTCAGAGTAGAAAATGAAAAAAAAAAAAAAGGTCAAGTTTTCTTAATTTTTTGATTGAAAATTATTTGCTTTCTGTAATAGCCCTGTTCATACATGAAAGGATCTCAGCACCTAGTTTTCTCAGGAATTGAGGGCTGTTTCTCACACAATTAGCAACACAAAATTTGTCACTAGCTGACACTATTATTTCAAGACTAGTGTAATTTCTGACAATGACATTGTTAAGAGATTTCAGTGATTTACCTATAGTAACATTTACAGGGTAGACTAAAGTCCCTTCCTTCAAAATTATGATTATATTTCTTCTATCATAACATTCTGTGGAAAAGTTACCTGACAAATGTACATGTGACTATTCTATCAAAGAATGCAAGCATGTTTCATCACAATTTATGTATGCATTTCCAGTTCATAGTGGAAGAAAACAATACCCTGCAGAGCTGGTAGAAAATGCCTTCATATAATAGTCTGGAGCGTTAAGAACTTAAAAGTAGTGCTTATTTTAAAGACTGTAATACAGAATAATGCTAGAAGCCATTACTGTCTGCTAAGAGAAAAGCCAATAAATTTATTCTCAGAAAGAGAATATGCACTGGAAGGATTGCAGATAAAGGTTCTGGGTATTTCTTTTAAATATTTACTGAAAACTTCAGGGAAATTTTTACATTTCTTTTTACTGAGGATAGATAAAACTAGCAACTTTAATATAATAACATTAACATATGCTCTCTACTATTTCAAAGCAATTCAATCATTGTTATGCAGTTGCTTTCCACCCACCAACAAATCCACACTCTCAAAAGAAATAGCAAAAGGCTAATATGAAAAAATAAATAAAAATTTACATATCTTACATGCAATGGGTAATGAATAGCATGGTCAAACCCAAACAGCATGCATGAAGGCATTGGCATGGGAGGCATTTACGAAGTTCACATTCCATTCCAACACACAAAGGAACAGAGAAGAAAAGAAATGGTAAAAAAAAAAGAAAAATAAAAAAAAGCCATCACATCAAATCAAGATCAACAGTCATTTCAAATGATAACCTGGGCTACCATAGTCAAGGAGTCCCAAAGAAAAAATAGTCAATTTTAACAGTCTGACAAAATTCAACTATGCATTAACTGTTCTTGTTCTTTTTAATACTTATGTTGCACCACTGCACATTTTTATATAATACTTATTAATGACTTATAATAGGCAAAGAAACAAACCATCTATAAATACATTCTGTGATGTGCCTAAGGCTAAAAGAAAACGACTTGAAATTAGAATATTTTTAAACCCATATTTTAAATTGAAGACTATTTCCCCCTTATATCTTTTCCCCCAAGAAGTGTGTTTTTTACCATTATTTGGGCTCCATAATTTTTATTTCCGAGGTTGCCATTTACTGGGGTTTATTCCAAGCCATGAAGAAACAAACTTACATTTCAGTTTGCTCTTCTCATTATCCAGTCATGAATGTAACATGACTGGAGTAAGCACACTACCACATTCACCAGCACAACTTAACAAAACAGAAGTAAATCACTAGCAATGAAGCATGCAAACAAAAGGAGTGCAGTCCACTTTCAGCATGACAAATAAAGGCAAGGATCTATAATTTCAATGACAACTCAAGAAGGAAACAAAGAAAGAAAGAACTGGTGCAGCAACATAAAAAAATTAAAATATCATTGTCGTGTTTTGGGAGGTCACTATTCTCACAAATTCTATGGAAGGGGAAGGACTTCTTTGCTGTGTTGCAGGAACTTAGTTCCTACTCTTATCTGTGGTACTAATGAAGACACAGGCTATTAGGCTTTCAAAAGAAATGATGGTAAGGATTCAGCAAAATCCTGGGCCACAGATGGAGACAAAGGAGCACCTGGAGTGGATGGGAGCCCAGAGCTTTTCCAGTGCTGCACCTCACTGGGCAGCAAGGACAGCCAGGCAAACCCAGCGCCAGCCAAACCACACCACAACACACTGCAGAGCAAGGTGTGCTCAGAAAACTGACATTCTTTTATGTTCCAGTGCTGCTTTCTGCAGTGCACAAACAAAAAGTCCAGCACAGAGGTGGTCTTCTACAAGTGGTATAAAAGCAACCACCCCAAAGTTGGTGAAATCACTGAGATGACTTAGATCAGTATTTTACACCAGGTTTTACTTGCTATGAAGGCCACAGGTACTGCATTATAGATTCCCATATATGTTAGAAATTAACATAACATACTGTATTTAAGTTCACTATTTTGCTAGTTACATAGCTAGTTTATTTCTTTAATGATTTTTATGTTTTCTCTAAGTGATTTCTGCTCAGGGACTGCATTACATAAACACGACTAATTTCCCTGTTCAGGTTAACAGCAATTAATTCTCTGGACCTGAGTCTGCCAAATTGAGAAATCCAATGTAAATAGCAGATAGAACATATACCCTACCCTGACTTCCCAAGGAAAAAACCTGAACAGCTCACTAAAATTCAGTCATCTTAAACAGCATATACCATACAATAAACCTTGTCAATAAAGCCATAAGAATGATCTTCTGATCTTCTCTTGACTTTGGGTATATGCAAGCAAAGCCAGCACAAGCAGTCTCTTTTTATTTCCAGTATTCAAATTAATTTCAAAATCCAAAGAAGAAGTTTTACAGCATGACTCTAATTAGCACCTATTAGTAAAGCACCATAATTTAATGGAATGCCCTTCACTACAGCCAATAGCATGTTTTCTATTATTTAAACCAGGAAGAATGCAAGCTTCATGCTTTGGAAGCTGTTTGTCACAGTAAACAATTCTCTAGTTAGATTTTTCCTAGTAAGCAGGGCAAAAGCTTTCTAATTATATTCAGGTCTATGCATTCTAATGCACTAATCACCTCCATTCAAAGTTACCTGTACATTGGGTCTCCTTTTTCTCAATTTAACTTTTGGTATGCCCACACCAATTTGCTGAAGTAACAAAAAAGCAGTAATTTATATTTTTGCACTATTAGTAAACAGCATACTTATAGAATAGAAGGTTTTCCTCAACATCTATACTCTCCAGTGTACATTTACTGGAAGCAGAGACTAGCCCTCATTCTGATCAGGAGTTCTGAGCTTTCTGTCAGAATTACATACAGGTTTTGTCTAGGGAAATAAAACCCAGGAATACGTTAATATGAATTAAATTAACAGAGAGCTCTCCTTCCCACATACTCTGACAGCATAAAATATAGGACGTAAATAGTTCACTTTTTGTTTTGTTATATTTGCTCTTCAAACCCAAGTCCTCTTTAATTTCTTAAATAACTACAAACTGGAAGACAAAATACTGGACCTCACTGAAGGCATATGGATTTTTAAAACTATTATTAAATGAATTTTGATCAGAACCACAGTAAAAATGAACAAAAGGACGCTAATCTTTAGAATGGACTGAAAAGTTGAATTATTTGCTATTTTTAAAATCTAATTAAGATTAAGTTTGTTAACACATGCTTAATGGATTCACTTCAGTGACTATGTTTATTTGGTGGCATATCCACCTGTTCTCTCCCAAGACAATGGGAAAAATACATGCATATACACAGAGATACACAAACAAAATTTGCAATGAAACATAAAATGAAGCCCTTGTAATATAACTACACAAAAATAAAAAATGGCATTTTAAGCAGTTTAAAACTATACTAAACTGAAAAATAATGGAAAAAGAAGATTTCTCATGTTATGCTTTGACATAGTTTTCATGTGCAAATAAGAACATGATGCCAAACTTTTTTATGATTTTATTATGCTTTTGAAATTGTTTTTGTTAACTTTCAGCAGCTGTGTAAATAGCTTTACAAGTTCTAAATTTCTAGGGCCTTCTTCCTGTGAGATAATACTGCAGGACAACTCATCAAAATATTGTGTTGAACCAGTTGAGATTTAAGGAAACAGAATTTCAGAAGGAAAGCAGAAGACACTCAGAAGAAGGAAGCATTGGAAGACTAAGAAACCCTCACCTCTTCAAAGGTAAAGATGTAGTTATGTTTTAGTTTACATCTATTGAAAAATTGCTGGCAGAGAGGGTTAAGATGTTGTTGGTTAATACATTAACAGCTACCAGGAGGTTCAACTAAAATTAATATGGCATGTTAAAGAAACTCCATGAATTCTAAATACATCTGTCGTTGTAGTGTACCTTAGTTTTAAAACGTAGTTCTTGTATCAGGCTGAATAGCATGCACCACCCCAAACAAACTGGGAGTGAAAAAGTCTAGTCTGTGTAACTGTTAATAACAACAATAACAATAATAATAATGCAAATGCTTAATATTACGTTTAGACATTATTCTACAACATAAAAATTATCACTTATAAAATATTCTGTTTAAAGCAGAATCTAAATCAAATATTTGAGTAGTATGGGAAAGCATCTCTAAATTTCCATATCCCTTTAGGAAGAAAAAACTATACAGAGCAATCATGACAACTAGTATCCTAATAATCCATCTCAGACTGCCTGGATTAGTTCAGATGAGCAGAAGTAACAAAGCTTTTTATTCTCCAATGTTATAATCCTATACTGCAAAATAACAGCATATACGAGATGAACATAATCTATATCCATCAGTTTCTCACAAGAGTATGTCTAAAATGAGAATACTGCATTGTTTCTTCTTATATTATTCCTGTTAATGAAAAGATAGATTATTTGCATATAAGAAAAAGGTAAATAGGCCACTTGTCATCATCTGAATTACTATAGTCTCTAATTGAGAAAAGACTGGGTCAGTAATGATGCATATATTTGTCTCTGAATATTTCACCAATCAAAATTGTCCAATCAAAATTTTCATTTCTTAAAACATGAAAACCCAATCCAGATATCCAGAAACTGAAGTCCTTCTCAATTCTGAAGTCTATATAAAAACCTTCTTTTCCATTTTTTCCTTTTATTTTTTAAAAGAGACTTTAAAAATAACTCAAAAGGGATATTTCTTTAAGAGTTATGATCGAGTTATTCTTTCTTTTCTTCAGAAGCACTTTTTTCTTTCTTCTTGCATTATACACTTGGCAAAAGATTTCAAACACATTAATTAATTCACTAGGAAATTAATTCAAATATTCACAAAGCGGACTTCCCCCAGCTTAAGAATTAAATTAATTACTAAAATACGTAGATGAATTCTTAATTTCTTTTTCTGTCTTTGACAATTAAAGATGGTGAAGCAGTGAAAAGAGGGTTTGCTTCTTGTAGCTATGACAGGATTATAGAAGGAAAGTTGCACAGGTCAAGGACTTGCTGCTAATCTTGCCTAGGAATGTGGCTGGGAGGAAAAAAGTGATGATATACATCCACTTTATTAAAAAAATATATATTATTTCCTTGCCTAAAGGCAGAAAATACAGGCTTCCATCAAGAATTTTCTCTCAAGTGTACTATGCACTAAAAGATAACATAGGAGTAGGATGGCACTAAAGCTCAAAAACCTTACTGGCCTTATTCATCTGCATTGACAGTTTGTGTTCATCTTAGTTATTCATGTAAGGTGAAGGGCCTTGGGGGAAGACACATGAGGAGCTGCTGGGAGTCCTTTGTGCAGCCTGGGGAAAAGGAGACTGAGGGGACATCTCACTGGGGTCTTCAACATCCTCACAAGGAGAAGATGAGGGGCAGGCATTGATCTCTTCTTTGTGGTGACCCAAGGCAATGGCCTAAAATTGTGTCAGGGGAGGTTTAGGGTGGATATTAGAAAGAGGTTCTTCACCCAGAGTGTGGTTGGGCACTGGAACAGGCTCCCCAGGGCAGGGGTCACAGCACCAAGCCTGACAGAGTTCAAGAGGCATTTGAATGATACTCTCAGGCAGGTGGTGTGACTCTTGGGGATGGTCTTTCGCAGGCCTAAGGATTGGTCTCAGTGATCCTTGTGGGTCCCTTCCAAGTCAGAATATTCTGTGCTTCTGTGATAAACAGCTCAAAACATCTCAATGAGATAAATGTTCGTGTTGACAACTGAACTACATGGATATATTCTTTAGTCCCTAATACTTACAGGGATTTATTATTGTTTCTAACTTTTTACCTGTAAAGAATCTGTACATTTCTGTCCATCCAGAGTGATCTTTCTATTTATTTTTTAGTTAAATAAACTTTGCCTTTGTCTTTTATATAATCCTGCATTTCTGCTCTTTGAATTCAAGAGACAAAATTTACTGAAATTATGTTTCCAGTGGAATCAAAATATGAGAATTTTCAAAAAGCCCACTAAATAGAAGATTGTTTCATATGGAGAAACTTTTCATTAAAACAAAGATTAAACTTAGGATTTCAGGAAAAAACTCCATCTATTCATATTGAAATTTCTCATTAAAATCAGAGTGACAAGATATTTGAGAAGCTACATGTAATGCAGGAGCCTCCACACAGTCAGGACTCAGTTAATGGATAAAGAGCCAGACTGAAATATTTGGTTCTGATTTTCCTGAAATCTGGGGAAAGATGTGTCCTAATCACATTTAGATAAAAATTTCATCTTTAAAGAAGAAAGATCTTTCTCAAGTTAAACTACTAAAAATCTAATATTGTGGGAAGGGGTGCTCAGCTATATCCATCACAACTCTGCAGCTCAGGTTTCCGCTCTAGTAAACAGAAAATACACAAAAAATAAATACAAAAATACTTCACATGTGCATACAAAATATATATGTAATTATTGTATTGATAACTAAATTCAATACAAGCCAAAGCTGGCCTTTGTGCTGGTTAAAGTGGATTTGAATAAAACTGTACATGTACCATGAATGTTTCTGACACCCACAAAACTAAGAAGTCTTTTCTATAAAACCCTTGGACTTCCAGCAGCTTATAGTTTCTGATTTTTTCTGACAATGCCCCCTTATTATATAGAAATAAATTAGAAGGTGTTTCATACCTTTGGTTGGAGATTTGGATGCAGGAGCACATACCCATTAGGATCAATGGCAAAATAGTAACCATTTGGACAAAGCTGAAAGGCAGAAATTAAGTTCACCATTATAAGGTTTTAAGTAATAAAAAAAAGAGTAATTAATGGTTCTCAAGAAATTTTCTCACTGTGGAAAATACATTGCCTTGGGCATTATGAAGTATCAGATATTAACACAGAGAGGATAATTTATTAATATTTACTTTTTAGGATCATAAACTTGGAGAAAAGTTTAGCCTGATGGGACCTTTGAAGGTCAGCTGCTATAACACTTCACTGAAAGCAAAGATAACTTCAAAATAAAGTCCAACTTTGAAGTTGGACTAGGTTTCAAAGAGTCTTTGAATACCTCCAGTGATAATTCCACAACCTCTCTGGGCAACCTGCTCCCTTTTTTTTCTTAATTCCATTTGGAATTTCCATTGCCACACCTATCTTGATTCCCGCAACATCCAGGTCCATTTTCTCCATAACTCTTCTTAGGTTCCTTCCTCAACCTGAACCCATCTCTCTCAGCTCCTTCTTGTGTACCATGCACTCCATACCCTTGGTCAACTGTGCTGGGCCTCAGTGTATTTCTTATACTTAGAAGACCAAATCTGGACACAGTACCCCTGATGCAGGTGTTCACTGCACAGTTGGTCTTCCTTACTGCCAGGGCAAACTGCTAACTTATGTTCTACATGTCCTGCACGACTCCCAGGTCCTTCCCTGCCCTTTGAAGCAGTCTGTCCCAGCCTGTGCTGTGGCGTGTGATTATTCCATTCTAGATGTAGGACTTTGCATCTGCCTTGAGTAAAACTCATGATGTTATTTTGCTTTCTCAGCTGTTGTTTTCCACAGTACTTGTTATTTGGTTAGAAATTTCAGCGCTAGATGTCCACATACATAAATCAATCGTACTGAGTAGGGTACAGACAGACATGTATATTAAAGAGCTTTTCTATAAAGAATTGTCCTATAAAAATGCCAAATATTATTATTAGCTGAAATGATTGAGTTCTCTACACTAAGAACCAAACACTCAACTAAAGAGCTGTGCTTCAAGCTATACGAAAATAATTACTTGTCATATATCCTCCAATGTAAAAGTTGAGTTTTACAGATGCATCCTGATGGAGAGATCACACAAAAACACATATGGCTGGAGAGAAAACCACCAGCAAATGTACAACAATGAAAAAGAATATGAAAAGAAGCCTGCTGGTATTTTGACTCAAATCCAATCATTGCTATATGACTTATGAAAAAGCATGCACAGAAATCCAAAATAAATCATTCATAAAGAGAAACCAACAATGCAAGCAACTTACCGTAAATCGAGGTGTCAGCTTTTTAATGTCCTCCAAAGAGACATCGACCCCCATTACTCCAAGAATCAGCTGATTCTGGTAAGATTCCACAATGTTAGTATATGTTTGACATATTTACAATGCAGAATAACTGCAGCAGTCAGTAAACTTTTATTTTTGCCTTCATCTCTTGATTGACAGATACAATTTGAGAAGTTGCCTATTTACTTATGTGTCTATTCTAAATATTTTAAATAATGTCAAAGTAATTCAAAATAAAATTTAATAAATTCAAAATTTAGTATGGATTATGAAAATTGTTTATGAAGATGAATATGGACACTTTCCTGGATGAATAAACAATATATGTAAGAACAAAACAGATGAAACCAAAAGTGATGTGATAATATTGCCAATTACATAGATACTAAACTACTAGTAAAAACATAGAGCTACTTTTGCATGTTTAGGTTGGGCAACTGGTAAGTGAGATCTCAAAGCAATTAACTCTAATGGCTATGGTATAACGATGAATAAAAAAAATCCCAACTAAACAAAAAAAAAAGTGACTACAAGAATCAACAGCATTTGAAATTAGGGACTCAGGCACCACATTTACTTCACTTGTAGTTTATTTTCCTACTACAGAAGAGGAGTGCAGTCATTTACATATTATCATCTGAATCCCTTCTCCCTATTAAATAAATTTGTAAAATTTATAGGAGGAGGTAGCTTGCAGTCTGTAAATAAATTCAGGCAGAGATATAAATTGAGCGATTTCAAGTTCTCCTCTTGTTCCTCTGTACTAGGCCACATCTGTTTTATTTCTTAGAAAGACATCCTTTGATAATCAGTAGTCTCACTTTGAACCAGACTCAGTCAATTCCAGGCATTGTCTTGTGGATAAGATTATGAAACTTTTTTGTTTGTTTGTTTTGTTGCTTTGTTTTAAAAGGGAAACTAAGAGACCTATTCTGAAAGTAAATAAAACAAATGGTAGTGATCAAATTCTCATTTATTCACTCAGTCTACATAATACCTGGGAAACTGAATCAAATAATATCTTGTTTAAATTTCTGTATATTTTGACCTGAGTGAACATGAGTTTCAAACCAAATGTACAGTATTTTACCATGCATTGTAAAGCATATTCTAGGTCTGTTTTAAAAAATCAGCATTTTGATTTTGTGAAGAGGACATGAATTGATTCCATCTCAGACAGTCATAGAAATGGGCAATTGTATTTATTTAGCACTTAAAATTTAATCTAAGTATACAGTGCTCTTTTCTATTAGCGTTACAACCAACTAATTTAAATTCTCTATATCATTGCCTTTTACCCTGAAATGTCATAGCTTCAGAGATTTGTTAAAAATTTATCTGGACATTCCTTTCTTTGGCAAGGTCTAAATAATATCCTCTACTTCCCACATGTTGAGCGCTTAATGCATTCCCACTGCCACCAAGTCACACTGATGGGTCACAAAATGTCATGTCCTGAAACTCAGAATGACAAAAAGGAGTGCACTGCATTTCTTGTTCCCAGAAGGTTATCAGGTAGCTAGATATGACCCCCGTGCTTCTGATGTACAAGACAAACTGCAAAATGCTCTATGGAAATGCACATTTTTCAAGGCCTTTAATATTGAATGTAACTAATCTAATTTAAATAGCTGCTGCATTTTTTTTTCTTGGTTTTTTTTTTTTCTTTCCCTTTAAGGAACAGCTTACAATTTTCCCATTTTGTTCCCTTGTTAGATTGAAGACGGGTAGAGTTCCTGTAATCACAAGGCCCAGCTCCTAGGAAATAACAACATAAAGAAAGGGAAAAAGATTTTTTAGTTAAAAAGCAAATATTGAACTATAATATATTAGAACAATCCAGCATAGCCAAACACAGACTTTCGGTTTATAAAAATGAGGAAAAAATTCTACTAATTCAATGACTTGATGCAGAGAAAGTTGAAATTACAATCTTTTGTGTCCACATGTTAGTGGGATTAATATATTACTTATTAAAAATAGATTATGTGCAACAACTTAGGATACAAAAAAGTTACAAACAACCTAAATGTTATGAAAATATGTTCACACCTACATTATCTACTATTAAAAAAACCCTGTGGATAATAGAGAAGGGGAAGGTTTGGGAAGGGAAGGGAAGGTTTGGGAAGGGAAAGTTTGGGAAAGGAAGGTTTGGGAAGGGAAAGGAAGGGAAAAAGCCATATCATGCTCAGTGTAAAAAGTGGGGGGAAGGAGGGAGAGGGGGGATGTTTGGAGTGATGTTGTCTGTCTTCCTGTTACACTTGATGAGGCCCTGCTGTCTTGGAGTTGGCTGAACACCTGTCTGCCCATGAGAAGCCGTGAATTAATTCCTTGTTTTGTTTTGCTTGTGTGTATGGCTTTTGCTTTCCCCATTAAACTGTCTTTATCTCAACCTACAAGTTTTCCAGCTTTTACCCTTTGATTCTCTCTCCAGTTCCTCTGGTGGGGGAGTGAGCGAGTATCTTTGTGGGGTTTGACTGCTGGCTGGGGTTAAACCATGACAGGAAAGTAACAAATACATACAGAAAAACCAACAGAAAAATAGAACAGGTAATACTACTACTTTTTCTATCATCACTGCTTTTCAATGGCATGCAATAACGTCTATCATCAGCTCTGCAAAATCACAGTCTCTGGTACTGAGGCAACTGAAGCAAGGAATTTGCATGTATATGAGAAGACATAGGAAAACTCTTTTTCTTTTATTAATGGTCACAAATCATACTGAAAATAGGATCCAGAAAACCATATGTTCAGATACCCAGGACAGTTTTGTTTTCCATTCTAAATTGTCCACAGGGAGATTTCTTCCTTTTTAAATGTGATTGTTGGGGTTTATTTCAATTTTTTTCACCTTACTGATGTTTACTTCTTCTATATATTTAATTGAGGAGTCATATCACTTTTCTCCCTTTGTTTTATTGGAAAAAAATAAGCTAAAATACAACATTAATCCACTCTGATGAAATCTGTTCTCCTCTTCCCAGTCTAGTAGCACCTTTTTGAATTTTAAACCGTCCTTCATGAACCTATGTTTGTGTATCAAATGAAAGGTGATGAGGTCAGAGTTAGTAAAGCTACAAACAAGTTGGAGAGAAGTGGACTTCGTCAGAGAATAAGAGTAATGGGAATGAATTAGTAGAAAAGAGAGAGGACGTTATTTAGAAGTAACATTGAAGACAATGAAAGAGGAGGGGTATGTATGGGAAATAACACCATCTGCCTCCCCTTTTGCAAAAATGAAAAAAAAAAATAAAGAGAAGAAGAATTGTGAATAAATTATGCCTAACTTATAAACCAAAGTATCTAAAAATTCTGGGGTTATCTTGCAGAAAATAAGCCCAGAGCAACACAGTAATACAATTCAAAGAACAGAGCTATAAAAGAGGTGTGAATTGCCACAAATACATTAAATTCTTAAAGACAGCCTTGAAAGCCAGCCTCAAAGGAAAAAACCTCTTTAGAATTTCATAACCTGGGTTTAAAGGTAATTCTATTTCTAATTCTGGGTTTAATGATAGTTCTAATCACATGAGGTAAAATGGTCTGACTTTGCATTACTTTAGTCTGAGCCCCAAAACAGCTGCTGGACAGAAAAGCAAAAGGATAGGAATAAGTCCAGTGAGGCACAAGCAGGAGAACTTTAAGCCCTACATGAGGGAATTGTTTCAGGGAATGTAAGATAATGAACCAATGTGTTAGTGCCATTCCCTCATAAAACCAAGAATCAGGGAAAGGCTTCAGAGGGGGTTAGATTCACCTGTGCCTTTATGCCTTCATCTATGATGAGAAAGTAAACATATTTCAGACTTTACTTCAGTAGTTTACCTACTTTATTTATACATAACTATACACATATGTGTGTATGTATGCACACACACACAAACATATATATAATTATATATACACAAAAACACATATATAACACATGAATGGAGCAAAGCTTGAAGGAAAGACTGAATGAACTCACTGTAACACAACAAATGCATGCAGGTATCACTCATTTTACTTGACTAAACAGATCTCTCCCTATCTCTAGTTACAAATTTATCTTTGGATTTACAACAGGATGTGTACAGAACATATGAACATTTGTCGTCACATCCTGTATGTTTCCAGTCAGTACCTCAACAATAATCAAAAAAACACGGATAATGAACTTCTGGCCATTGAAATTCCAAACTAAAACTAGTTCCTCTATGTCATGCTCAGTTATATAGATGATAAAAATTACACATTGATAAAAATTTTACAGTAATACTGACAGACGGGAAGAAGAGGATTTTGACATGACAGTAGATGATCATGTGAACTTGGATAAATACATGATTCCAAATACCATTTTCCAGTATTTTTTGCATTGTTAGAGTAATTCAGAAGAAGGTTATCTAGAGCAACAGATTGCACTGCTGCTAATAATACGTTGACTTTTGTAGTTTCCCAAACATGTTTGTTTTACATGGCCAATTTGATAAATTCGGCAGTTAGAAAGCATTTCATATATCTTTTTGTCTATTTCCCACTTCCATACTCTCCAGTTAAAGTATCCATTACCTTGAGCAAGCAAGCAATTACAACCATGATAGCTTAAAGATCCAAGTTCAAAATCTGTACAAATACCAAGTAATACTGATAGATTTCATTCCACCTGGAATACTCTTTGGGGGGAAAAAAAAAAAAAAAAAGAAAAAAGGATTCCTTAACAGTGATGTAACAAATTACTGCAGCAGGTACAACACTGGAAAACTATCTGCTTCCTTTTTCTTTTCTTAAGTTGAGGGCAACAGTCACCTACACTTAGAAATCTGTGTAGGATAAATTTCTTTTCTCTCTTAAATTTCAGAACAATTAGAAGGATACTAAGTGCAAGTACTGACCAGCATGCTAGAAATAGCTCTATTCCTAGAGATTTTTCTTTTGAACTGTATAGATATTGGAAACATAAGATTATGTTTGGAACTGTAAGAAAATGGATGCTCTGGAAAACAGACCCCTGTGGTTACTGATTGGCTAAAATTCTTACTTTACCAGAGATAAATAGAAATCATACCAGAGCATCCAGATAGACATTTGTCCATTGGACTTGTTTGGCTTTCTCTCCAGCTAAAACCATTGGTCTTCCCAAAACATCCAGATATTCCTGCCAAAAAATGTAATAAAGTCATCAGAAGGCAGTTATTAGATCAAAGAGCAGAAACAATACAAAATTAAACAATAATAAATAAAAAAATATGGGAAAAAATTCAAAATTCACCAATAATTTAGGAACAGCATTTAACTGTTGTTTTAAAACTGTACCGCAAAAAATTTCAATCTTCAGTTTGCAGTATTTACTGACAAGGTAATTTCCCTATTTCAGCCTCAGTCACATGGACCTTATCCATCCATAACCACCACTCTCTTTTCACAAAGTGAGAATTACAACTATTTTTGTTCCAAAATTAATTGCTAATGACATAATGAAATTACAAGCAGATTGCAGAACCTTCAACCCAGAAGAGAGTGTGGGCGATGGAGGGTGAGTGGTGTAACAGCTGGGTATGTTAAGCTCCTACAGCAACAACTTGCATAACTTCTATTGAAACAAAAAAAAAAAAAAATCAGAGTTATAAAACCTCTTAGTTCCTGCCTTCCTTCAGATTGGGATTGCAGCTAACTCGGGTGATCTTATAAGATGTCAGATTTCTGAACTGCTTTGGCAGTGGATGCCATCAAACTTGTTTCACTTTTCAACCTTTTCAACCTTTTCTACTTGACTGAACATATTAGGGATACCTCTTGCCAGACACTATCTGGAAGAGTTTAAAAGAATCAAAGAACACTTACTCAAGCCAAAAAAGGACTCTTATTTTCTGCCAAAAAAAATCATGCCTGGCCTTGGAAGGACAAAGAACTGCCATGATATTTCTCTGCTGTTCTGGACATGTGAGTACATGGACTTTCAGATAACTGAAAAGAATACTTGCTCTTCTACACTGTCAGTTTGGATCCTACCATGTAATGCCAGAGTCTTATGCCCTTAGTTAACTACATGCATGTCTGCTAAAATATTCCTTAGTCCTTTTTGAAGGGGAAAATGGTGTCTCTTGCAGAGATTGGATCCACCCAGGAACCTCCTCTACAAGCAGGAGTGTAGTGTGTCTGCCCAGATGAGTTCAGAAACTCTAGCAGGAACAGCTAACCCCTCACATACATCCACAATATTCTCCACTTAATACAAACCCTTTGGACCATGTTGTAAGTATGGCAGGAGGTGGACTATGAATGCCTAGATACATAATAAAAAATTACTGTTTTTATAGACCTTTACAATAAAATTGCTGTCATGTCTCAGGGTCAAAGTTTTAGGGACTATATAAGAGAAAAACTGAGACAAATGAGTCCATATGCAGAGGTCTGCAGGATAAAGAACACTTCAGATGCTCTGTTGTGTGCACATGGTCAGCCCCTTCAGAGGATGTTAACGTGACAAGTATGCACGGAGGCTGCTGTGGGCCAGCTGGCCAGGGAAACAGGGACCACATTTTAAATTGGCTCACTGCAATCACTTAAAAGAAAAAGTTAGAATACTTTAACAGAATAATCCCTCATATGTAGAAGAAAGCCTTATTTTTTTCGCTGTTTTTAATGTAGTACAATTTAATTGATTCAAGCAGGTGGGAAAAGAAAACATGTTTAAGAACAGGAATTACTCCACTTCTCTGTGTTAAAACTGATCTGGATTTGTCCAAAACACTTACCTGGGTGTTTATTCTTATGGCTCCAATAGAAGGAATTTCATAATAATAACCTAAAATTTGGAACAGAAATAATGTCATCTTACTGTAATATATTGCTAGTCTCTTAATCTTGATGAATTTCTAGTTTAATTTTTATAAGAATTATCATGTATTAGTAGTTTTTTAGTAGATGCCACCACAATGCGTGGCCACATATGATGGGTCACCGTGCCATTCAGACTGAGCTAGTTACTCTCAGGCAATGAGAGTGTATGGTGTGTTTCTTTTGTCTGTTTTGTTTAAGTCTAGATAAAGTACTGAGTTTGTACTCATGAAATCCCAGTTACTATGATGTGCAAGCATATTTAATGGTTATTTTAATATGCTGTGATATTCAGCATAATTATATGCTGAATGCATATAGGAATGCAAATATAGCTATGGGCTGCCACAAGGGTATAAAAATATAAGGTATTCTCTGGAAAGGATGAAAAAATCTAATGGGTATTCCTTCTGATTCAACATCAGACATGTCTTTATTCAGCTTTAATTCTATCACTTATTTGTTTGAATTAAAAACATTGTGTATATGGACTAATAAGACTAAAGCCAGGCACTGAGACTTATTTTCTGACATACAAACTTTTAATTAGGAAAAATTTAAAAAAACCTGCTTATTTGGATGTTCAAACAAATAATCACATCAATTTTGGAAGAAGATTATGATCATTTTGCCTAAATGACATAGGTGGTTATGCTTTAAGCCAGATGGTTATCATTTATTTTTAAACAATGGAAGTCACATGCACACAGTATTTTGAGATACAAAGATGTAAGTAAAAAAAAAAAATTTGTTTGAAATATAAATGTCAATTTTCTGTAGTTATTTGACAATACAGTCTTCATTTCATGAAGTTGCAGTATCTTCTGCAAATCTTGCTGGCATGCTGAGGGATTAATGAGGTTGTGATACCTGTACTATTCATATAGGCTACAGATTCTTCTACATTTTCTTTTTCTGTATCTGTACCTTTTTCTCTTCTTTCCATTATTTTATTCTTCTTCCTGAGCATACCTTTATCTCCTTCCCCAGCAGTCTTAATTTTCAAGACCCTTTCTAATCTATCTCACCTCTAACCTCTTGCTTCTCAATGATTTGTAAAATAATTGCACATTTTCGGTCAGGCCTGAAAATTGCTGTATTTAAAGTATGAGAAATATTGTTTGATAAATTATGTATTTTCTTTTTAACTGTATATCTTATGCCTTGTTCTATAGTTATACTGTAAGGTATTTGAGACACCTATTTCTCACACTCTAAAAATGTTTATGAGCATATTTTTCATGTGAAAATTTATAGTAGAAATTCCAAGCAGAAAGCATTTTGCTTCCTTACTTTCACCTGTTTTACTTTTTTTTCTGCTGCATAAATCAGAATAAAAATAGAAACTGCAAGATGGTCTCAGAAGCTAAGAAATCACAGCAAGGATAATTTTGATATTTTCATTATAAAAGGGAAAAATATTCTAAGTCATCTGATCCCTTGTAAGTTTTGAGGAAAACAGAAAGAAATCTAACCAGCCAGCTAACCAAACAAAAACCCTTTTGTCCAGACCACTTAATTTAAAACAGCTTTGCTCAATTTCTTATCTGTCATCAGTTCCATCTTGTCATAGATGGCTATTACAACAAATATTCTCAAAAGTGAACAATAACAATTTATTAATATAAAAACTACTGTGGTAGTTTTTGTACTACATGATGTTTTAAATAAATTAATCAGAAATAAACATGCAGGCTTCTTGTTTATAGATATACACATATACTTTTTGGAACTTTTATTAACAAATACAATAGAGCTAAAAATCAAGCTGAAAAATCTGCCACTTTTAGAGAATAATAAAGAGAACACCTATCCAAAGATCTAGTGAAGATCAGTTTCAAAGAAGAACACAGTACCTTTATTTTCACAGGCCATCCACTGTATGGGTCCCTTGTCATAATTATGTTGACCAACAGAAAATGTGAACACACGTACCTGTGCAAGTTAAAAACCAATGCATATAACTTAACTATACATAATTTATTAGCTGCGACTCTCAACTTAATTATGCTTGGATTTTTCTTACATTTGAATAGAAAAAGAAAACAGTGAACCTTTTTTCACCACAAGAAATGTGAAAGATAAAAGATATAATAAATTATGCCATTTTATGTATGCCTATTATTTTTTTCATGAAGTAGAACCGCAAGAATAATATTCTTTCACGCATCTTTCATACTTCAAAGGTCTTACATTGGTGATCATTCATGAAACATTTAGATTCTTGGGTTTTTTTCTAAGGTGGTAATAATAACTTCTCAGGTTTTGTTAAGTTAGTTGAGGTAATACTAGATGTTTACCAGTGAATTAAAAAGAATATATTCCTGGCAGTATAATTCAAAACAATGCAAAACAGGACTTTTTAGGATATAAAATAATTTCAGGAAAAAAATTTTGAAATTTCCAGATACTACAGAAAACAAATTCTCATTTTGCTGCAACTTTAGTCTTTTTTCATGTAAAATCATTAAATTACTTCAAGAGATTTTCATAGAAGGGTTAAGTTTCTGATATTTCACTTTAAGCTCTTGATAATCATTTATGTGTTTTATTAGCATAATTCTATTCTGTTTAGACAACACAACTCTAATCTATCTCAGTAAGTGTAAGGAGTCATGGCTTCAGACAGAATTCACCAAATTCTCTCCAAGTCTTGGACTGAGAACATGCTTTTCAGCTGAAATTATTTTCCAGGCAAATCTTTTAATTTGGATGAGAAAACTTTAAAACCAATCCTGGCATTGCTGTATAAACATTAAAAATCCTACAATACACATAGAAAAATTACAAATATGAGTCACATAAAAATGAGTGCTTCTGTAGAAGCTGGAAAAAAGTTTTCCCAACAATTTTAATAAACTGTTCACTATACTCATGTCCCTCTGTCCAAAGATCAGACTACTTTTCCTTTTCAAGTATTTCTTTCTTTATGGGTCTTTAATTTCACCTCTTCAATGTGCAAATCACAGATCATGACATGAAATCAGAATACAAATTTCTTTCTGTGGAACTTGAAGACTATGATTAAAATCAAAACAATAGAAATAATTTTCACGCAGGCTATAACTGAGTAATAAGGTAGTGTTTTCTTTAAATAATATTCACAATATAAAATTGCAGAGATTCCCTGTAAACTACTGATAATTGCTAAGTTTTTTGATGACATCATATACAAATTTTCATCATATTATCTAGTATGTGCAATTAGTACCTAAGCTTTCATTTCTCAAATAAGCAACAAAAATTGTGTGACATTATAAGAGCTTAAGTATTAACCAAGAGCTGTAGGAATAGCTCTACATCATCCATCAGCAGCTAGAAAATGGTGAAACTTTATTAGTCTTGACCCCTATATGCAAGGAGGGCAAACAAAGCTTTGTGTTAGATGTCATTTTTAATTAAAAATATGTTTTGATTTGCTTTATCCATACAAGCATTAAAGCAACTACTCTGCTGCACTGAATACTATTCAAGTGCTTGGTTTTTAATTTAAGACTTCTCTGTATAGGGTCATTCCCCAGTAATAAGTCAAACCAATTACATTTCTGGTTACACAGAGAGGTATGGAAATGACTGTGCCTAAGTGAAGATAAAATTTTGTTCTCATAGTTCATAAGGATTAAGACAGAAGAAAAATACTTTCTATTACCTTGAAAACATCACTATTGATAGTGCAAACATGAGTTCACCTCGTATGTTTACATCTGATTTATTATTTTAATACTATACAACATTTGACATCCCCCATTTATGCTTGACTTCTTTTACAAACCGTCAGCTATAATTTTTCAAATGGATCTTTCTGCTTCTGCTTTTTTTTTTTTTTTCCAGTTTGAATATCACAATGGTATTTTCTATTGGCACCTCTCAACTCACAAGGTACCTGCCTACTAAATCCCTGGTTTTTTTGGACTCACACTGCTTCCAGTTTAGTGTCCACTAAATGCTTGATTCAGAATACATTCTCCTCAGAAACTATGGAAAAAACCCACTGAAGGACACTAGTTAGATACTTCAGAGACCTAATATTTCTTTTGGTTTAAAAGTTACTACATCATGTGGGTTTTCTTGTGTGTGTAAAAAACACATGAGTCAATTAGACTGGACTGTCTAGCATTTGATCTCAATATAAAAATGAAGCACTGAATTGGATTCAAGTTGCGAAATGGTATGTAATTTAGGGAAAAGAAGCAGTGTGTTAAATCTGCAACAAATCTATAAAGAATTTAGAATTTAAATTATTGACAACAAGCAGGCGACAATATATCTGATTTACTGTTCCTCGGATAATTAACAGAGATAAAGAACTGCAATGAAAATTGGAGGTTTTAATTATTACTTGGTTTGGCAAGAGGGTGGGATATTCAAAAGAGTATTCTTTTTCCTATTGCCTCATCTGGAATTGAGTAGAATGACAGACCAGCTGGAAAAATGAGTCAGCAAGTCAAACTAAACAAGCCAATTTTAGCAAAAACCCAATGCTCTGTGCTAACGTTTTCTGTGACAGGACCCAGTCAGCCAAAATACTGAGTGCATCTGTCTATATATTTTCCTTATAGGTATCTCTCCAAAGAAGACAATAGACCATTAAACAAATTAAAAATAATTAAAAAAGAGATTTAGTTTCTTTTAATAGGGAATTTATGACTAAGAATACTTGGAGTAACTAGATCAGACACAATGGGTATGACCACCTCTCCCTTTGCCTGTCCTTTAAGCTTGATTTCAACCAACTAAGTGGATTTCTGAGTTGAAGCAAACTGTCAAGTAGTCTTTGATCCCAAGAAGTTGTTATCCACCACCACTGAGGCCTGGTTATTTCTTCTCTTTGCTTCTCTGCAGCCTCTTAGGTTCTGTGTAAACCACAGTTCCTGGGTCCTTTTGCCATGATGTTTCCTCTCTCCCATCCACACCAGAAAACTGACATTTTTTTCCCAACCCATTTCCTAGAGAAAGGGCAAATTGTCTATTTATTCTCTTAATAAAGAAACACAGCTTTTAAAGCACTAAAAACCAATGGAACAATCAGAAAAACAAATAGGAGCTGTCACACTTTCTGATTTTCAACAGGACTGATCTAAGCAAAGTACTTCTAGAAAACTTGTACCCTTAGAATTGAGAAGAACTGGAGATGGGAACCCACTCCGCCAGCTCATTCAGGTACAGTCTTCAAACTGCTCTGAAATATAAAAATCCTGATTTCTAACATAGGGAGTTGAAGTCCAGAGCTAATTCTCTGCATCTTCCTCACTGAAACTTTTACTCTCTGTATTAATTATTTACAGTATTGTATTGGGTCTGGCTAAGCTGGAGTTCATTTCCCCACAGCAGCCCTCACAGTGCTGTGCTTTGCATTGGTAGCTAGAAGGGTGTTGATAACACACCAATGTTTTGGCTACTGCTGAGCACAGCACAACACTGTAACATTCCTTCCTCAATCAAGGGCAAGAAGCTGGAAGGGGACCCAAGCAGGCCAGCTGACCCAGATTGATCAAAGGGATATTCCATACCATATGATGTCAGCTCAGATACAAAAGCTAAGGCAAGGAGCAGGAAGGGGGGCATTCGTTGTCTCCAATGGCTGCCTGCTTAGGAACCATTACATGTGCTGTGAAGCTCTGCTTCTCCGAGGTGGCTGCCCATCATTGCTCATGGGAAGTAGAGAATAAACTGTGTTATCTTTCACTTTGCTTTTGCTCACACAAGCTTTTGCTTTGCTGCTGCTTTAATTAAACTGCCTTATCCCAACCCACGAGTTGTTTTCCATCTTACTCTCTCCCCTGTCTGTCTGGGAAGGGGACTGACAGAGTGGCTGGCTGGGCACCTGGTGTCTAGCCAAGGTCAACCCACCAGAAGTAGAGGAATATGTTTATTAGCCAGCAAAACAAGAACAGAATTAATGTCAGGGCATTCAGACAGCGAGTGGCACAGGCTGCCCAGTAAAGCTGTAAAGTCTGCCTCCTCTGACATTTTAAAGACCAGACTAGATATGGCCCCGAGCAACCTGGCTTGATCTTAGACCTGACGTTAGACTAGAGAGCTCTGGAGGTTACTTGCAGTCTGACTTATCTTAGGAATCTATGAAGGACATCAAAGGAATAGATGCAAAAATCCAACTCTTAATCAGAGGAAATGGTAGACAGAAAAGAATGCCAAAAACAATAGAGGAAGAATTACTGTATTGAAGAAAATATAATAGTCTAATTATAGTATTAATTTGTTATTTTTGTTTCTCCCTAGCAGAAGATCTTAAGCACTGAGGTGAATAAAAAAAGATTCTGTTTACTGCAAATATTAAGGACAATGGCACTCAAGAGAGTTGAGAAGACAACAAAAATGAAGAGGTACCCATGAAAAGGCTGCTTTCCCTATAGATCTCAGTTGCATTTTATCCATTTTATTTCTTCATTTTGCTATTGGAATAAAATTAAGAAATATTAAATTAGTTGTTTCTTTTGCGTAGATCATATTAAAAGTATTACAGAAAAATTAACAGCTTGAGTGAAGTTAATTCAAAGGGGTAACGAAGCACAAAGTACTTGCTGTTTAGGCTACTGCATGAGATGCTGGAAAGCAATGCCATTGAAAGGGACCTGGAGGTCCTGGTTGATGGCAAGTTGAATATGAGTCAGCAGTGCCCTGGCAGCCAGGAGGGCAACTGTGTCCCTGGGGGGCATCAGGCAAAGCATCACCAGCTGGGCAAGGGAGGGGATTGTCCCACTCTGCTCTGCACTGGGGCGGCCTCACCTTGAATATTGTCTGCAGTTTGGGGCACCACGATATAAGAAAGATATTAAGCTACCAGAGAGTATCCAAAGGGGGCAATGAAGATGGTGAAGGGCCTTGAGGGGAAGCTGTATGAGGAGTGGCCAAGGTCACTTGGTCTGTTCAGTCTGGAGGAGACCAAGGGGAGACCTCATTGCAGTTACAACTTC